TCTCGTGGAGGAGACTACTAGTAAACCAAGAAGGAGGACGTGATAAAGTAGATTTTGTTCTTGTTTCTCCCGTCGGAGAATAGACGGGGAACTAGTCAACACTGTCTGATTTCTGAGGTTTTGAGGGGAGAACTTCTCTCCTCTTCTGGGCACTGACTGGAGACCAGTTGCAGTACGGTGGTGGTCAATTGAGAAATCATGGCTTCCTGGCCTGGCTCTCTTATTTAAGTCCTGACCCCAGTGCCCTTCCACGGGCATTCTGGCCTAGGGCAAATGGCAGTTCTTGCGACAGTTTTGCATTTCTGAGGAAAAGTCAAAATCATGTACTATTGCCAAAGTGCCTGCGGGTGGCTTGCGTTAGTCTGCTCCCCACATAGGCCTGAAACGTAAAAAGGCTGTTCATTCCTTGATTTTTGTCTCTGTAATAGAAAGTTGACGTTGTTTTAAGATATTGACACTGCCGTGCAGTGTTCATAGGCAACAAACTCTTGCTTGAAAACAAATAAGGAGATTTGATTTTAAAGACTTGCCGTCAATGAGAGCTTCTGCTCATTTAGCCTTCCATTCTTATCCTATGACACTCAAACTCCACGCTCCATAAATTTTGCACATGTAAATTTATGCATTATGATATGCTATTAATCAGATTATAAAGTAATAAATGCTGCATAAAGAAGAATGTCTATTATCAGAGCTTTTTATAAAACCATATTTATAAATAGAAGAGCTAGGCTGGGAACTGGACACAAAGCAGTTGCAGAAAATACAAAAACATTGTAATTTTATTCTAAGTAGAAACAGACTGTATGTTGTTATTCTTTGCAATGATGGATATTGAAGGTCCATTTTCTGCTTTATAGCTGTAAGAGGATTTTCTGAGTAAATCAGATTTTTAATGTGGATGAATTATATCCTTTTATAATATGTGATATGAAAGATGTGTTATTGGCTAATAATAATAGTGCCTTGTGTTTATACAGAAATTTGCTTTGCAAAACCTAACACAATTATATATACTGTTTCTTTCTTTCTTTTTTTATAATTATGTTCAGTTAACAACATATATATATTTATTTTAAAAGCAGTTATTGTCAAGGTATTCCACTGAAAATTCATCCTTATGTTGTAGATGGGAAAACTGAGGCATACGTAAGTTTTAAGTGATTTCCCTAAGTCATGCAGAATTAGAAATTAAAAGGTAAAATATAATCTCTGGAAGACTGCAGAGTCCTTTCAATTACTCTATGTTGTTTCTTAATTCACTGTTTTGTGATTAACAAGTTTATAGCTATAATCCCTTTACTTTGATAGTCTGAGAAATAATCCTTGATTCCTCCTGTTTGTTGGTGAGTCTGTATTTGTGTGAGTGTGTTTAATAGTTCAGGAATATCTGTTTTCCTTTTCATCATTTTACGTGTGTGTGTGTGTGTGTGTGTGTGTGTGTGTGTGAGAGACCAGTCTAGTTTAATTGATAGAAAATTCCCCCTCTGGTCTTAGGGGAACTCTGAAGATAATGACTCAGTAGGGTGCTCACCCTTTCAAACAGGCTGGGTTGACTCCTCTAAGTAAAACTACAACATACCAGTTGGAAGGTTGTTTGGTTTTTTTTTAAGCAAGAGAATAAAAAAATATACTCTAATTTGACTCATTCTCTGTAGTTGACTTCCTAAGAATAGTTTAATTGCTTGGTGGAATAATTCCCCTGTGAATTTAGAAGTGTTCCACTACTTGTTAGAATTTAAACAGTCAACATTAATTGTAATGGATTCTCAGTGAAAGTGCCCTTATTGTTTATAATTATTTTGCCAAATTAAAAAAAAAAAGTGCACTCTCACTTTTAGAAGATATTTAAAAAAAAAAAACTATTGAGTTGCTGGAATTCCTTTTGTTTTGTTTGACTCTGAATTTATGTTCCTGATTATATAAGCGAATTTTGGATTATGCTATCAATGGGGTAAGGGATTCTGAATACTAGAGTGGTACAAAACCTCACCATGATCCCTAACTAGCTGGATGGTTGGAGTAAAGAAATACCAAATGTCAAGGAGATGGGACTTTGAAAAAGAGGCTGATTTTAAGCAAGACTAATACTCTTCAGTTCTTTAGCAGTACAGGAGGTATACTCCTAATTTCTCTAAATATTTAGTTAAAAATGGAAATCCTATTCTCAATGCACCAAATATGTATAGTTCATGATTCTTTAGGTCTTTACTAACCAGTATGGTAGCCACAATAGTCATTTATGGCTATTTAATCTTAAAATAAAATCAATTAAAGTTAAATAGAATTCCAATTTGCATTTCTCAATGTCATTAGCCATATATCAAGATCTTGGTTTTTTTTTCTTTTTTTTAAACATTTTATTTATTTATTTGACCGACAGAGATCATAAGTAGGCAGAGAGGCAGACAGAGAGAGGGGGAAGCATGCTCCCTGCCAAGTAGAGAGCCCGATGTGGGGCTCGATCCCAGGACCCCGAGATCATGACCCGAGCTGAAGGCAGAGGCCTAACCCTCTGAGCCACCCAGGCACCCCAAGAGCTTGTTATCCATATGTGGCTGATGCCTACGATATCAGACGATACATATCTAGAACATTTCCACCGTTAGAGAAAGTCCCATTGGATATCATTGGAATAGATGGTATCTTTTCAAATTAAAATGTCAAATCCTTTTGTCCCAGAGCCCTAGGGAATAGTATGAGGACTATAGAAAATAGAAAAGCTCAAAATTCCTCTTTTGTACTTTTATGTATTTATTTTAAGGATTTATCTATTGACTTGAGAGAGAGCTGGGAGAGGGCAGTGGGAGAGGGAGAGAGAGCATCTCAAGCTGACTCCCCACCGAGTGCAGAGCCCGATGTGAGGCTCGATCTGTGGACTCTGAGATCATGACTTGAGTTGAAATCAAGTATTGGATGCTCAACTAACTGTGCCACCCAGGCACCCTTCTTTTGTGTTTTTAAATAGCAAGTTTTGGACAATAAAAAATTATGTAATTGATTCCTGAACCCAGAACTCAAGAATTTTTGACAATCCTTCTTCCCTTGTTAAACTCGTAGCCAATACTGAAATTTCAATGCAAGAATGGAATTCCAATCACTGAAGAGAAACTTGAGGGAAGAAGAAATTTCTAGATGGTCAGCTTTTTATTTTGTTTTGGATTATTTTCAAGATGAGGCATAACTTATAGAGTGAAATCTTTGAGAACCCACCATTTACTAATTTTTGGCAAGGAATGCTAAAGGAAATCATGCATAAAATTTACAGAGTCATACATATATAAAAATAAAAGCATCACATGGTTTGCAGTGGCAGAAGATGAACAGAATTATTAATTATCTTTCTAAGTTGAGGGACATTTTGCTCAGTGCCCTCTTCTTTACAAAAAGTTAAAATAGAATCACAATTAATTGTTTCCCTATGGAAAGCTGGCCAGGCTTTCTAGAAAGTAACAGATAGTACTTGTTCTAAGCTGTTTTAAGGTGAATTGTCTTTCATTAAGGTATCAGTTCTTGCATTCATATCATTTTAATTTGTGTTTACTGAAACAGGGAACAACTTTGTGTGCAAAAGTCTGTGTTAACACAGGTGTAAAGTAAGAGTCCACAGCTTTGGTTTAAACCCTTAAAAAGTAGGCTTGGTGATAATAACCTTTGTTCTTTTCTTTGCTTGTACCTCTCAAATGCAGCGAACCCACTTAGAGTGGGAATGAATCCCAGCCTACACACTCAACTGTTTAAGAAGAAAAATCAGGAGGGCACTTGATGTAATGAACACTGGGTACTACATGCAAGTGATGAATTGCTAAATTCTACCCCTGAAACTAATAATACAGCATATGTTAACTAACTTGAATTTAAATTAAAAAAAAAGAAGAAAAATTAAAACAAAACTTTATTTTTATTAACTCAGTTGTTACCCCGATTCCCTTTGCAACAAGTTGTAGGGAAAATCTCTATCTCTGTTACTCACTCCTGGAGTTTCCCAGAAGCCTCCAGAGAACTGCCAGGGTCCCAGGACTGCGAAGTGTGCCAAGGCCTCAGTGTGTGCTTGGGCACTGGGCATTCATTGCTGCTAGGCACAGTCCCTGGAGGTATTGTGGTCACTTTAGGGCCCAGAGGGCTGCCCTGAGTCTGTTGTATCTGGACCAGAGTTCGTAAACCCCTGAGCTCACAGGCTCTTTTTGTTCATGTGGAGGCTCTGCTTGGCTTTCAGAGTGGTTTCGCTTATTTGTTTTCATTTGAACTAGTTGCTAAGCTTCAAAAATCAGAAAAATTATACACAAAATGACTATTTTTAGTCAAGTAAAGGATTTGGCAACTTTGGGTCATTGTTCCTGCATTATCTGTTGGCTGGCACCAACTAGTGACTATTCACCCTGGCCTCATACTTCTCAGACCCCTCACTCCCTCTTGTTATTAGACCACTTCAGTCATTTCCTTTATTTCACTGGCATCTGTGAATTGCAGCCATAAGTCGAAGCCATGTTAAGATGAGGGACTCTGCCTTTTGGGATCAAAAGGTGGTAGTCATGGCTAGTCATAGACTGCCCGTTTCATGAGGGATCTTCTGCGTGAGGTAGTGTCCACTCAGGCAAGGGAATTTCTCCAGAAAAGAGGCAACTATGAGCCATTGGAAATAAATGGACACACTGCACCATTGCTGTGCCAGCTTGGTAAAGGGAATCCGAGTGGGGCACCAACAGACTATAATAAGAAATATCTTTTCCGGAGTGAGGAAGAGTAAAGAAATTATTTGCAAGGGGAAATTTTGTTCAATCCTCAAAGTTTTATGATACCTTTTTGTTCATGATCTTTAGTTACATTTAAGATAAACTCTATAGTGTCTTCAGTTCCTAGAGCCATGTAAAGACTTGAGACCACAACTGATTTATTCTTGAGTGTGATGTACCCAAGTGCGTGTGTACCTGTGTGTGAAAAACTGTGTCTGGAGACAGAAGCTCAGTTCTTGAATGTAACAAGTGTTTTTTGACGTTTAGCACCAACCCAACTGAGGCCTCCTGTGGTGGAAGGAATCAACAGCACAACCATCCGTGTCAGATGGCTCCCACCCAAAGAACTCAATGGCCCCTCTCCTGTGTATCAGCTGGAAAGGAGAGAGTCATCTCTTCCAGCTCCCATGGCCACGATGATGAAAGGAGTTCGTTTCATAGGGAATGGATATTATAAATTTCCCAGTTCCACACATCCGGTCAATACGGACTTTACTGGTAAGTGTTTTTGACATCACTATTGAATAGATACTAAGCTCCGAGGTGTTTCTTATTATTTTGATATCCCTTCAGAGTGAATTGTCCAAAGAAATACTAATTCAGACCTTATAACTTCATCTTGATTCTGTCAACTTGTCCATATTTTGTGGGTATTCTATGTGGGGAGACATGGGTGAATAGAGGAAAGAAAAGAAAAATACAGATGTAGGAAGGTCACCTTATTTGATCAAAGTATATGCTGGAAGTGACCCTCGGGCACCATTTACCAGAATGTGTTCCTCAGAATACTTTACCTGCTCTACAGAAAAAGAAGAGTTGTGTAGATTGATGAGTTTGAGAAATGCCCTGTGCTGTGGAGAGTCCTAGTATATATCAGGTTATTAAAACCTCTAAAAGCAATTATAAGAAAGCTAACTTTGCTTAGCTCAGTATGCCTAATCCTTATTTGTCACTTTTTTGAAGCATTAAACTATCAGTAGGTTGTTTTGTTTGTTTGTTTGTTTGTTTGTTTTTTGGTTTTGTTTTTTTTTTGGAGAGCATTATGGGAAAAACTAATTTGGGAGAAATATAGCTTCTATGGGTATGTTGGCAGTATGGGTGAGTGAGTGCTCGCTTTGGGCACATACAAAAAACACCTCAGAAATCAACAAAAATAATATTTTCACTTGATGTATTTTTAATAATGAAAATCAACACCAAAAATTCCCCAAGCAGAATTTTAAATGAAGACAGGCTCTATCCCTCACTTGCGGGGCTCTGTAACCCTGCCTCATTTGCCTAACCCAACTCCTTGTCTTGCTGGTCCTACAATATTCTGGAAGTCCTGCTACCTTTCCAAGTTAGAGTTCCTAAAAACACTTTTTGCGTTTTTAGAAATTGCAGAAAGCTGTAACTATTTAAGTTACATTTGTCACTTTCCCAATTTTCAAAAAATATATATATAAAGTTTAAGATACCTATGTTTCTGTATCCTTGAGGGGAATATAGGCAGTAACCTCTTCGATATCAGCCACAGCAACTTCTTTCAAAATATGTCTCCAAAGGCAAAGGAAACAAAAGCAAAAATGAACTTTTGGGACTTCATCAAAATCAAAAGCTTGCACAGCAAAGGGAACAGTCAACAAAACAAAGAGGCAACCCACGGAGTGGGAGAAGATATTTGCAAATGACAGTACAGACAAAAGGTTGATATCCAGGATCTATAAAGAACTCCTCAAACTCAACACACACAAAACAGACAATATAAAAAAATGGGCAGAAGATATGAACAGACACTTCCCCAATGAAGACATACAAATGGCTATCAGACACATGAAAAAATGTACATCATCACTAACCATCAGGGAGATTAAAATTAAAACCACATTGAGATACCATCTTACACCACTTAGAATGGCCAAAATTAGCAAGACAGGAAACAACAAGGGTTGGAGGGGATATGGAGAAAGGGGAACCCTGTTCCACTGTTGGTGGGAATGCAAGTTGGTGTAGCCACTTTGGAGAACAGTGTGGAGATTCCTCAAGAAATTAAAAATAGAGCTTCCCTATGACACTGCAATTGCACTACTGGGTATTTACCTCAAAGATACAGATGTAGTGAAAAGAAGGGCCATCTGTTCCCCAATGTTCATAGCAGCAATGGCCACGGTCACCAAACTGTGGAAAGAACCAAGATGCCCTTCAATGGACGAATGGATAAGGAAGATGTGGTCCATATACACTATGGAGTATTATGCCTCCATCAGAAAGGATGAATACCCAACTTTTGTAGCAACATGGACAGGACAGGAAGAGATTATGCTGAGTGAAATAAGTCAAGCAGAGAGAGTCAAGTATCACATGGTTTCACTTATTTGTGGAGCATAACAAATAACATGGAGGACAAGGGGAGTTAGAGAGGAGAAGGGAATCGAGGGAAATTGGAAGGGGAAGTGAACCATGAGAGATTATGAACTCTGAAAAACAATCTGAGGGTTTTGAAGGGGTTGGGGGTGGGATGTTGGGGAAACCAGGTGGTGGGTATTGGAGAGGGCATGGATTGCATGGAGCACTGGGTGTGGTGCAAAAACAATGAATACTGTTATGCTGAAAATAAATTTAAAATAAATAAATAAATAAATAAATATTCTTTTGTTGTGACTGAAAAAAAAAAGGTACCTATGGTTTTGTAAATGCATAATGATATTCATTTGATCCTGGAGAAAATCATTCTGGAACAAATAGTCTTGAAAATGTTGCATGTATTGAGGACGATTAAGTAGAATTTGAACCATAAAACGTGGGTCAAATATTATTGCTTTATTTTTTATTTAAAATAGTAAATAGTTTGCTTTGAAGTGAGGTTGGCTGCTGATAGACACTTGTAATGAACAACGTCCTAGCAGAGATACACTGAGTGAATGCTTAGCTTAGCTAGTGGCTTGGTTCCTCAAGATGGCCATTGAATATTAGATATTCAACCACTGAGCAATCTTAAAATGTTCAACTTGTGCTTAATATTCGTAAATGTCAAAGAAAAGAAAGAAAAGAATCAAAGAAAACAGATATGTGGAAAAGAAAGTTAAAAAGCCTCCGAACACAAAGTTAAAAGGCCTTTTCTCAAATGGAAAGAGAAATCGCCTTCCTGGTCCAGCGTTTGGCTCGCGATGTGTTTCTTTGAGGAAACAGCATTCGTTTCCATTCAGCGGAATATTTCTGCTACAAGCGTGTCCGCTCAGATTTGCTGGCCAGCCAGCAGACAGATTTTTGATGGGATCACCTACTGTTGTTGCAGTGAAAGATAGAGTGGCCCGTCCACCGTTAATAAATTTAGTCGTCTGGGCGCTCTCCCTAGCCGGCCTTATACTCTGAGGTACAAGGGCTAGGGGCAGATGTAGCATCTGGGAAATTTTCCAAATTCCTCTTTAAAAAAGTTAGGCCATAAACACCGGCCTCACTAAGCAGGATCCTTCTGTCTATAACAAAGCCTCCAGCTGCACAGAAAATGTGTTTGGAGTACACATCGTTTGAAGGACAAGGCGGGGAGATCACAATTTTGGCTTGAACTGCTCCCTGGAGGTTTGGTGATTCCCAAAGAATAAGAAGTTCTTCTGCATTCAGGCACGTTCTGGGGCATTACTAGCTCCTTTTTATTAGCAGCTTTACCTTACTTTGAAGGTTCTCTTTAACTTTTAAACTGAGTCTGCATCAAATCATTGGTTTGACCCTTTGGTGCAACTGTTCCTTCCTTATCCAACACCATGAAACTTCTTTGGATTTGTCTTTCAGTTGTTGACTTTTCAGGTATGGGTAGTAAATAGGGTTGGCCTTACATGTTCACTTGCATCCCCAAAGCTATCTAGGGATCCCTTTTTTTTCCTATAGCGATTTATTCCCAAATGTTCCTAGAAGCTTGATGTTTAATGTCTAAATGAAATTATTTTAAATGGGCTGAAGTGCTATGTGTCAAATGGTATTATCAACTCACATTTCTTGATATTTCATGCAGTTTTTAATTTTCTGAGGCAAATTTAAAGAGCAAATTTTAGAAATCTCTAAAATGATTAATTATATTTAATAAGTGAATAACTATAAGAGTTAAGATCTGCTTTTATTTTGAATTTTTCATTTTAAAATATCAAACTCTAACTAGAAGGACTCCCAAAAAATGAATGGGGATATCTAGTAATATTCAAAGACAAAATATACCATATTGTGTATTATTATACATATGCTATATATATATATATAAATTAATCAGATTTCACCCATTGATGAAAAGACAAATAATAAATACATTCATAGCATGTTCCACAGTCATGAACAATGTATTGAAAGTTTTAATATAAATGATCTCAGTATTACAGTTCAAGATAGGAATCTCCTATATAACTCACTCCTCTTCCATATTTGCTTTAAATGTTTTTATCTCATATGATTTAATGAAAACAATTCAAAAATATGAGTATATGTTTTAATATGTTGCTTAATATCATAAATTACTTAACTTTATATTGTAAATGAACTTTATTCAAAATTTAACTCTGAGTAGAAAAATTAACCAGATACAGCTTTGTTAGGATCTGTCTTTGGTCTCTTTTCCCTTTGGACACAGTGTTCTTTCAAAAATCTAATCTTCAGGAAGGGTATATTATCAGTCATTTACATCATAGTATAAATTTAAGGTTGGATATAAACTTCTCCACTTCTCTATGGTTAAGACTGAGTGCTTTAGCAACAGACTAATAAGTTTCAGATCTAGGTCCCATTGTTTATTAGCTAAATGTAATTAAACAAACCACTTAATCATTTTTGTGGCTTTGTTTCCTTTTCTTTAAAACTGGCATAATAAAACTGCTTACAATACTCATGTCTAGAAGTAGGTGAGGATGAAAGGCAATAGCCCCCCTCGGGAACCCTGTGGAGTATCTGTCACATAGATTACTTAGAGGTCATTAAACTCTAGCTATTAACTCATAGTCATTTAACAAATGTTTGTTAAGTGTTTACTATGAGACAGGAGCTTGTCTGAAATTTATAAAACCCATGTTCTCTTAATTCATCTGTTGTTACACATAATGCAAGTGTGTGTGCCTAAATGTTCTATTTAGGGTATGAGTAATATGCAGCTTCTATATTAAGATGTGTTATTTAACTTTGTTATTAAAATAGTTAAATTAATCTACCTAGTTTAGAAACGTTGGATAAACAATTTTTCTGTGGGTCTAATCATGTTCGTCTATTAAATTGAGGATTGTGCTAGATGACCAATGCCTCTAACTTCTAAAATTCCAAATCAATGAATATAGCATATATACAAAGCTTCAAAAATTCAAAATAGAAGCTATTTCTGTGATTTTAAAAACAACTAGATTTTCAAGTAAATTGTTCAGTTATGATTTTTTTCATATAATATGTTACAATTTAAGATTAACATAAATTCATTTTTCTCTCTTAGTCTGAGGGGATATATTAATTTATAGGGATAATTTAAATGACATGGAGAGAAATATTCAATA